TATGGAACGCTTAAAACTTTTTGGAAACATTAGTCCCCTCTGGAATTTTTTCCCACTTTAACCTCTGGGGAGTACCTATAGTCAAATCATGTGGTGATAAGATAACAGTTATAATATATTCAATAACAATTCGTTATTCAATAGTTTTACCAATCATTGCAGCATATAGGACGCACAAATWAATAATAGATGCGCGTTGGAAACTCAAATGGGCCCACTTCCTGATAATAATTTGCTATTGACATATTAGGTAATAATGTTTTTGATACTTGCAGAATCATGGTAGTATATAAAAGTATTTTTGACTATGAAAAATATTTGTGCATTTATTATTATAAGCCCCATTATTCATAATAGAAAGAACATAAATCTCCGTAAAAATCACACGTAACTAAAATCAAAAAATAATATAACATGGGATTAACTTCTGGTATTTTTATATAGGTACAACAAAAATRTAGGTGGATATTTTAAAGATTACTTTCATTGTAATACATAAGATTTCAAATTATGCATACACAATATTTCATGCTTTTCAACTATTTAAAATTATTTCAGTATTTAAMACATTAAATTGTATAGATATCTATTTAATCTTAAAATTTACACGGTAAATACGTTTAAATAGGTATCTATATACCTAGTATCTACATTCTACATTCTTCACAATATTCTGTATTATGAGTGTGTATTAACCGTAAAAATCGTGGTAATATTTTTATAGAATTAAAAATGACTTACTCTATTGCAGTACTTACTACTAACTGTACTATTCATGAGGTATATCAAAAACTAGTTAATTTACTCATATTATACTTATTTTGTAATAATATATTATATTATTATTAGGCAAGCATATCACAAAGCATTTCCCCCTCCGTGTAATAAAAAACCCGCGCCTTTGCAGCCTATTTATAAGGTGGCCCATTCGACTACCGTTTCCCCCGTTTTACAAAAAAGTCAATTTCCAAACGGCTACCGTCAAAAAAGTTCTGACAGATAAATTCCTAAATGGCTCCGGTTTTTTACAACACCAATTTCTTTTTCAGTTTATACAGACTTAAGACTGTCTTAAAAGAGTTGTGGTTAAAAATATCTTGTAGTAGGTACTCTAAGTAAATTATTAAAATTATATATAAAAAAAAAAAGGTTATAATATAATATTAAATTTTAAGGTTTCACATTAAAAAAATATAAAAAAATGTTTGTATAAATAAAAATACAAAAAAATTCATATAGGTATCGAGTAAATATGTTAGACGCAGGTACATGGGCAATCATAGACTTTTATTATTGCAATAATACAGTGGCGTTACATTCTTACTAAACGCAATACAATCATTTTTTTTTGTATTTGTTCATTGAAACGCCCCCTTGGTCTTCGTCAATGCTTATCACAAGTGGGTTGTAGGGAGATCATGTGATCTATATTTTTAAGTATATATCACTTGTTGCATGATACTACCCCCTTCTCCGAGAGGAGACATGTGCGGTCTTCACTCCCAGTAGAGTGGGACCTAGTTGGAAACCGGATGATGCAATCGGACAGTGTGGGAATTTGGTGATCGCGTAAAACCACACAAATTTTTTTAGCACTTAGCTATGAATCGAACCGATGACTGTGAGTCGTAGTCAACTGCGTGACCACTGCGCCACTACGGTCTCGTATACGATAATAATACTATATAGTGCAACATAAACTAGCTTCGACGACCTTTAAATACCCAATATTATTTAACACACTATAATAATATGAACGGATGAGTCAAGCTCGCGTCACTGGGTCATCGTGTTATGTGATACATTATTAACGAYACACACTAATACATTAATGATAAACTGCCGCAGAAACATTGTTAAAAGATATTTCTATACAAATTTTTGTTTTTGAGGAACTTGAAAAATGTCGATGTACATAAATTTGTATTATTATTTATTATAGGGTACATACATAATAGACACCAATGTTAATTATTTTAAATTAAAATCTGTATTGCGTATAGATGTCGCTGAATACTGTGCACTCTTAACTTCAGCAACACCCGTGAAAATTCTTTTTCCCCTTGTCAATACCTAACAGACTACAGTAAATGGTAAATYATATAATAGTTTAGTAGACATTGTCAGGAGACCACAATTTAAGAAATATAAACACAGTTATAATAAGAATAAGATCATATTATTGAATATGAAAATGACAGTAGGTACGATAATAATTAATTCACCACAGAAGTGTTAAATTTTAAACATGTATTATATACTGCATTAGTAATAACTTTATTATTTATAACCATAGGGTAGATTACATTAACAAGTGGACACCATCACACTCATGTGTTATGTCGGTCTTACAAATGCATAAAACAGCAAATTTTGTGCTCAACAGATCATGTATGGCTTGTTAGTTTAAAATTTGAAGTGAGTTAACTTCTTATAAAAAATAAAGATCACATTATGATCTAGGTAAACACATGGGCTTTTAATGATATTATAATTTTTAAGCAAGTATGAGTATTTATAATTGTAAATTGATAGTTTATATTAAGATACTYAAAACTCGCTTTAAAATTAAAATATAATGAAAAGCCTGTGTGCACTTGTAAGATGAAGACAACGTATGTAAGCGTGGCGTCTTCTTAATTGCCAAAACTACCCTAATTATTATAAATTTTTATAGTTAGAGTTTWAGAGGAATTATTATTAGCGTTTATTTCTTCAGACTATGTACTGCATTTCCTAGTATTAAGTATTAAAATTGAAAACTATTGCTCATAACATTTAAAAAAATGTTTGATTGGTAGTAATAATTAATAACTTGTAAGAGAATCAATGAAATAAATTGTCAAGCTTTTTGACTCTAAAGAAAAACATCATTAACATGGATTGAAAAAAAGCTTGTGCTATACTAAGCATCTATAATCAAATCAAAGCCAAAATATTAATATAACTAATTGGTGATAATTTCGAGTCTATGATATGAAATTAGCTTTAAAGTTGCACCAAAAATATAAAATGGGATTTTTTTTTTTAAAATTCAGGTTTGTGAAAAATTACCATTTTGTTCTTCCAACGTTTGAAATCTACCAAAAATTTTCAATTTCGACCTCACTAGAGTACCAAATACAGTGAAAACTCTTTATAAYGAAAAACTCTATATTACGCTAATAACATTAAGTTAACTTATAATGGTTGGTTTGATTTAAAACCTATTAATAACTCTYTATTACAAAAACTCTCAATAACGAAAGAAATCACATGGTCCCTTCAGATTCATTATAGAGAGTTTTCACTGTAGATTCACTTTTCTATTAGAAAAGATGCTGATGAATAAAGGAATATTTTAACCAAAACGACTAATGTTGATAACTATCAGATAAAAAAAATTGTATGTATAATACACTCATTGTTACACTAGAATTTAGAAGGATAAACAAGAAAGTTAAATAGTAATATGGGCAAAAATAAAACAATTTTAAATTTGAATAAAAATTATCACTTTTATTAACTTATTTCTTCTTAGATACACCAACAGTTCTTCCTCTACGTCCGGTAGTTTTGGTATGTTGACCACGTACTCTCAAACTAAAAACATAAAAGATAATTATTTATAATTTTATCAAATCTTACAGTGCTAAAACTTATACAAAAGTCTATGAAATAGAACTTTAGGCAATCACTCATGTTTTTATTGT